AGCAGCACCGAGCTCTGCTCAGCTGGGTCCACGTGTGTAGGACTGGGTTGGGCTAGGCTGGGCTGGGCCGAGCTGAGTTGGGAGGGCATCTGGACAAGCACAGGGAGACAGTGATTCCAGGGCAGCTGGTGGGAAGCCATTCATTTTCCCAGGTTGTATATGCTATAAAGGGCTTATCAAGGAGATGTTTACAAATGGGAGCCTTGCTGTTTTTAACAGATTAACTGTAGCATTGATTCAGTGACCTGACAACCCATTCCCCTGGACCGCTGGCTTACACTTGACTCCTCCTGGACAGCAGGCAGATAAAGGAGCCGCCGAGTTGACAGCGAGGAGGCGGGCCACGCCCAAAGCTTCCATTAAGCAGCCTGCAGGGCCTGCAGGCTCGGACACCCCCTAGAGTCCAGCCAGCACTCACGCCTCGCTCCTCCCCCATGGTCCGTGAACCCTGCCACCCAGCCCTGCCAAGGGCGCCCCTCTGCCCAACTCTGCGTCAAACCTCCTTTCCAAGCAACACAGAAGAGCGTTGCCGTTGTTGCTCTGGTCAAGCATGCAGGTCACAACCAAGGCAAACAGGCCCAGCGGGCCCCAGGGCAGGCCCAGTTATATTTCCTGATCTGCAAGAGGAAAAATCTGACCCCCAGGGACATTACCAAGCATGTACTGAGCCCCAATCTGTGTCAGCTCCTCTCACTTCCTTGCTTTCATTTAACCCCAAAACTACTCCTGGAGGTAGGCAGCATTTTCCTCATGGTTTGGATAAGAAAACTGACGCTCAGAGAGATTAACCAAACCGAGGCAAGTTGCTGGTGGCCACATGGAGTTCTCACTCTGGTCTGTCAGATGTTCACTTTTTTTTTTTTTTTCAAAATATCATGTGGCCTAATCCAGATACCCTAACTGTACCTGTGTGGGGCAGATGCTTCAGATGCCTTTGGATGTCTACCAATAGCCACACACCCCGTTTAGAACTTGAACTGGTTCAGCTATCCCATGGCCATGTGCTTCACTGAAGACTAGGACGCTCTCCATCCCGGGGGGTGAAACTTGAACAGTCTAAACCAATGATTTTCAACCCTAGATGCTCATCAGAGCTCTTTGGAGTGTATACACACACACACACACACACACACACACACACACACACACACACACACAGACGTGTATATGCACAACAGGGCCCCAACTGAGCCCCTTTAAATCAATCTCTAAGAGTAGAACCTAGACATCTGTATGTATTTTAAAGATGCTCCCCCCTCACCCTAGTTCAATCTCAGACAGAGTTGAGAGTCACTGGCCCTAACCATTTTCCCTTACCACGGGTCTGGGATGAGCATTTGATAAAATTCTGGCTAATGGAAGGGGTGAGAAATCTTCTGGAAGCTGGGGCTTTGGGGAAATTTTTCTTCTTTCTTTAAAGGAAGTATGAGGATGAGATGGGCCCCCTTTTCTCCTTCTGACCTTTGGGTTTTGTGGTGTAAAGATGTGACACCTGGCATTATTGCAGCCACCTTGTGACCATGAGAGAGCCAGCCCAGCAGTCAATAGGCTGAGGACGGCAAAGAAGAAAGGCAAGAATCTGGAAATTCGGTGGCATCTCCGAACAACTTAAACAACCCTGCGATCACCTTACCCTGAGAATACTTGTAAGAGGTGATCAATATTCTTAACTGTTTAAGATACTTAAAGTTAGTTATTTGGTTGCTTGCAGCCAAAAGGCTCTCAACAGCTAACACCCACCACTGAACTTCACCTACTTCTGCCTGCTGCCTGAGCTGTTTCCAACAGGGGCGGACATCCGTCAGCAGCTGGGGCCCCCAGACGGGAAGGCCGAAACTCAGTCCTGCTGCCCAGAGGACTCATAACTAGAGTGAGCCCTGGGCGTATCATTAAACAACTAGTTACCATGAGAGCGATTCCAATGATAACCATGACATTTATTACGCACTTACCCCATGCCAGGAACTGTGTAAAGCAAAGTGCTGTAAGTATGTCCCCTCATTCCATCCTTAAAATCACCCAGTGAGGTAAGTATTACTGTGTTTTACACACCAGGAAACGGAGCCCCGGAGAAGCTGCGGCATCTGCCCAAGGCTGCAGGGCTGCAGGGCTGCAGAGCGGCAGAGACAGGACGCTAACCCGATCTGTCAGACTCTCAAGACTTCCCTTCTTTCCAGGAGACCGTGTTGTTTCATTTCCCTGTGACTTACGACGTTACGTGTGTTCACACATTCGCTGAAATGCTTAACGATGCGAATAAAAGGCATTCATCACTGTAATCCCTAATGGAGATAACAGAAATATTAGCAAGGCTGAAGTGAAAACAGTTCAAGTGAGGCCTAATTTTTTACAAGGCCAAGGAATAATTTACTTTATCACAGCAAAGAATTTTATTTGACAAATGCATACTTTGTCATCTCTGGTCTGCTGAAAATGTAAGTTTACATTTTTCCTAGCCATAAAATTAAAATAATTTTGGCTGCAAAAATCTAAGAAGAAATCCCATTCTAGGGTCAAGCATTTCCCTGGAAATTTAGATGCTAAATATGGAGCGTGAATAAATGCCATCCCAGTCGGGCATGGCGGATGCCTGAGTCTGTTGGATCAGGGTTCAAATCCCTGTTCTGCCTCCTGTTGACCCGGTGACATCGAACAAGACATTTCACTCCTCCAAGTCTCAGCTTCCTGATCTGGAAGATGGGAATCACAGCTCCCAAGGCAGGCCTGGGATGAGGGTCCAATCAGATGCCCACGTACACTGCATGGCAAAGCAGATGAGCTGTTAACTTGGCTGTTACGAAAATCCGTGCAAAGTGCCTAGAACGGGACCTGGTGCGGAGTGGCTTCTCAGTAAATCTTTAATGCCTTCCCTCTATCCTCCTTCTCTCGTTCCTCATCATCGACAGCCAGGGGTGGGCCTTCGAGGAGAGCACCGGCAACAAACCGGTCCCCTCTGCTCCTGGTTGTGGGAGGAGTAATGGGCCGAAGCCCACATCTTGGTTCACTCAGCTTCCTGTCAGCTTTTTACAGCATCATCCCTGCACCCTGACCCAAACACAGGGCAGCCGGCCAACCTGTGAGCGGGCCACCTGCCAATGTGGAAGACAAATTTGAGAACGTGTCAGAGGATTGGGATAAGGGACAGAACAGGGGGTGGAGGTGGGGCGGGAGGAAATGGTTAAGTTGGCTCAAGAGTCGAGGGTTTTAGGGAAGCTGGAAAGAGATGATCCCTCACCCTGAAGTGAGGAACAAAGGAGGCAATTTTAGAAGAATCTGGACTGCTAGTGGGAGAAGCAAAAGACGGGGCTAACTCAGGGGCTCCGTACCGCTCCATTAGGGCTGGGTAGCCAAAGTTGGCCCCCAAGTCACACTGAGAAAAGCAGACAGAAAAGGCCAATAGTTCATGAATATGTTTGGAACTGTTACAAGTTTCTGAGGTCCTTCCTCCCAAGACTGGAGTCTCATTTCAGCTCCATGAAGTTCTCTGGGCTGTCACTATGGTTATCATCCCCATTTTACAGATTTGCAAATGGAGGCCTCAAAGCTGGCAGTGTGTTCTTGGTCACATAAGGGAGGAGAGACACAGAGAGATGAGTTTGTCCAGTGGTTCCCAAACTGAATCCAGAGCCCTGCATCTGGGGTGGAGCCCCAGAATCAGTGTTTTTTTTTAAGCTTCCCAGGTGATTCTGATCACAACCAGGTTTGGAAACCACTGAGAGTAACAAACTCACTGCATATAAAGAAATGGAGCCTGACAGAGGTGGAGGAATTTGCCCATGGTCACATAGCCAGTTAGAAGCTAAGACAAGGCCAGTCTCTTGGTCACCTGTCCCCAGGACAGAGCTCCTCCCAGCTCACCCCATGGGCTGCTTAGTTGCTGATGACAACCTACAATACTGGTAGGTTTCATTCATTCAATAAACGTTGATTGAGTGCTTCTTCAATGCCAGGCACCAGGGAGATGCAAACAACAGGGGGGTTCTTGGCCATGGAGAGCTCATGGTCTGAAGGGGACTGGGACAACCAGCCTCATGGCTGCAGGGTGGCCTGGTGGTGCTACAAGCCTGGTGGGTGCTTCTAGCATGGGGCCTCTGGCAAGGCTGTGGTCAGCTGAGAAGCTGGACGACTCACTTCCATGTGCAAGCAAAGGGCACAAGAGGGCTTGGTAACGTCTGCTTGGGATGGGGGGTGTGGGGTGGGGAAGGGGAGGGCTGGGAGGGAGGACTAAGGCTTCAGAGGAAGGGAGAGAAAAATAAGGAAAACAAAGGCTCCTTATATGGAAGGTGGGTTACTTTTGTTTTAATAAGCCACTTGTGTGCTGTGACTTTATACAACTCAAGTTAGAATAAACAATTTTGAACTAACGATTGCTAAGGATATTTACTGGGTGTATAAGAAACAATTTGACATTACTAAAATATGTCAAGACCAAAATAGAGGCACCAGGAAAACGTCCCTGTAGGCACGAGTCTTTGCTACCATAGAGACATCCTATCTGCCTTTGCTCACAGCTGTTGGGAAAGTCAGTCCACATCAGTGCCATGTAGAGGACCACACAGGTCAGCGAACCCACCACATTTACAGGAGGAATTTACCGACTCTAATGCTGCCAGTGTCGTGGGGAAGTGGACACTTTCACTTGCCATTAGCAGGATAAGTTGTACAATATTTCTGAAATGCAGTTTGGCAAATTTTATCAAAATATGAAATATTTTCAAAATACCCTTTGAATCAGCAATTCTACTTTTAGGAATTTATCTCAGGGATAAATATATACAAGAAAATATAGAAAGATATACGTAGGATGTTCAACAAGGCATACTTTATAATAGTGAAAATTTGGGGAAAAAATAAATGTCCACAGATCACAGAGTGATTAAATTATCCTGTTATACACTTGAAAACCATGAAGCCATTAAAAATGATGATGTGTATTATGTTTATGGATTTCGAAAATGTCTTTAATATCATTTGTCAACAAAAGCAAATTTCAAAACAAGTTATTTAATATAATGCAATTTATTATAATTTCTGGAACTGCATTTATCCATATCTGGTACATGGGTTTTCACCAAAATGTCAACATTGACAGGGAAGGGGCGATCTTAATTTCTTTATTTTTCTCTGTATTAAGTATTTTACAGCATTTCTACAGTCAGAACAAATGGTAGCGTTATCTTCGTTTGGGGATTAGAAGTTTTAAAGAAACTAGGCTAATTTCAACCTGACAACAGAGACTGCAAATATTCGTTCATCCTTCATTTTTACAGGCTAACTCCCTGTAAATACATATTCATGCAATTTGTTTATATACTGAGTCATGAAAACGGTTTGCTCAGTCACTGGAAGCTGTTTAGTAAGCACCACCACGCCTGAGGCACAGGGACGGTAATGAGGGGGGCGGATAACACGGCAGTTGGGGTGTCAGGCTTCTGAGCAGGCCGACCTGGGTCTGATCCCGGTTCCACCGCCTTTGGACAACTGTACAACCTCAGACAGGTTGTTAAACTGCCCTGAGCCATAGCTTTCCCGTCTGCCAGAGATGATACAAGTACCCACTGTATTAGTCACCTATTACTCTGAAGCAAATTACACTGAGATTTTAAAACAACAGTAATGATTTGTTCTCTCTCACAGTTTCTGTGAAGCAGGAGTTTGGGGCACCCTGGCTGGGTGTTTCTACCTGGTGGTCTCTGGTGAAGCTGCAGTCTCATGAAAAGCCAGGGGTTCACTTCCAGGCTGGCTGCATCAAAGGGCTGGCAAGTTGATGGCAAGCTTCGTCGTAGGCCATCTGGAAGGCTAACTAACATACATCGGATGAGAAGATGTTTATACAGAACTCAGGATGTCTGCACTGCATCCATTATAAACCACGGCAACAATAAAGAGCACATGTAACCGTCCTGCGCAAGCGAGCCCCGGAAACTGAGCTCAGAGATATTAAGTGGTTTGACTAGTTATGCAGTCAACTGATCTTTGAGCTGGGAGAAGAAACACGTTTTCCAACTCGTCTCTTCAGCGTCCCTCTTTCCCTAGAGGAAATCTCAGTGGAGACATGGAAGTGAGGGACCACAAGGTAGTCACAAGAGCTAAAGATGAACAGATGTCTCAGAAGGAAGGATAGGGAAGCTGCTGGAGGATTCAGAATGTCGGGCTGATGGGAAAGGCCCTGAGGAGCCATGAGGGATTTGGAGTGAGACTGACCTAATTCAAACCCGTAGGTCAAGTCCCCCCCTACAGCTGCAGCATGAAGGTGATGTGGAGGTCTCTGAAGAAAGCGGGCTGTTAGAGCAATGCAGGCAGCAGCCAAGGAAGAGGGGAAGGGGCCTGAGAGACACAGTGGCTCAGAGTCCAAGCCACGTGCAACCTGCGGATTCAGGTTAATTAAGGATTAAGGAGGCCAGGTCACCAGGCTTAGGGGAGAGTGGCTGACTGAGCTGGTACATGCACAGTGCCTCCCTCAGCCCCAACTCCAGCCCTGAGTCTACTTCAGTCTACAGCGCATGAGGCCTAAGAGTACTCAGTGTGACTTCGAAGAAGGACTTTAAAACAAGTCATCTGCCCTTCCTCGTTTCCAGCTCTGCAGCATGGAAAACTGATGAAATGAAGGGCCAGATAGAATGGAATGTACATGGTTCTGAGCTCAGCCCAAAGGCCCTGCTCCACTGAAAGGCTTGCTTCCCAAGGATGAAGGTGCTGGGAGGGTCGCCTCACTCAAGGCTGTCAGGCCAAGCTTCACTTCCCCTGTTAAATCTGTTCTGACTGCCCCTCACCCCTGTCCGGGGGGAACCGAGCTGCTCCCAGCACCCTGTACGCCATTACCAGGATGGACGCTCTCCTAGGACACCAGGATGCCCTACGAACTGCAGGACAGAGGCTGTGTCCCTAGGCATCTTAGGCCCCTGGGGCCCAGCCCGAATATTATGACTTAGCTCTCCAAAAAAGTTTGACAAATAATTTTCTCTCTTAATATCATCAGCTTTGCATCCAGACACTAAGGTTTACATTCACAAGAACTGCGATCTAGTAGCCAAAGGGTGGAATTCACCCCCTCAGTAGGACTGCCATTCACATCAAAGGTCTTGTAGATTTAATCACACATTTTACAGGATAGTGAAATGATCAGTTCTAACGGAATGGTGTGACAATTTTCTAGAAGAGAGAAATAAATGATTTGAGAAAGGAAAATTTTTTCTTAACTGGCTTAATGATTCTGTATGGGTTAGCAGTGGCCCTGTCCATACACTGGTTTTATTTGGCCAATGTAACTTTAAAAATGGGGTTAGAATGGCTGTAGCCGGGCACATGCTCTCCCTATTGTTTTATATGCTTAACTGCTTTGTGTTCATTTATTTACTTACCTAGCCCCTAACGCCATGAGTTTGCAACCCTGCAACCTGACACTTCATAAAACATAGAGCAGATGCTTGCAAGGTTCTGTCTTGGGCTGCATCAGAATTTTCTTTCGATAGCTTCTATCTACCCACCCTGCTTCTGGCGTCCTGTAGGTTACATACTGGAAGTTTAAGCTTTTTCCGAAGCATGGTCTCACCTCTCTGGAGACTACCACCAGTCTCTCTCGGAAGCTTTCCCTTTTCCAAATTAAGCATACCGTCTTCCTTCAACAGTTTCTTATGACATTGTATCTTTTCACCATGATCAGAATGTGCCCTCTTAAAGAGGGGCACCCATAGAAGGAAAAATAATGTCAGCATAGCCTAATCCCTTGCAATTCAAAGTGTAATCCAAAAGTCAGCAGCATTAGTACTCCTTGGCAGCTTGTTATAAATTCAGAGCCTCAAACCCCACCCTAGACCTACTAAATCAAGATTCTCCAGGTGATACGTATGCACAAACTAACCCAGAGAACAGAGACTCTTTTTGCATTAACATAGTCTAAGATTGTATTAAGTAATCCTATAAGAGGCAATTACCTTATACTGTTGACCCTGATTCCTGTTATCTGAAATCCCTGATTCTTCACTCACTGTTAAGCTACATCTTCCTATATTACAGTTTTATTGAAGCATTTAACTGATTCCATTCCGATGAGTTATATGTGTACCTAGACTAAGACCTTAAGGACAAAACGCAGACATGTTCATCTCGACCTTTGGTGCCAAGCAAAGCCCCTGGTACATAACAGCCGCTTATGTAAGAACTAACAAGGAAATAAACTAACCCGAGCCAAAGTGACAGAGGAAACCGAGTCATGCTGTTACACAGTTCAAGCCTGCCTTAATCTGGGGCTCGGTGTCAGGGACGGGGCTTCTCCCCATGTCTCACCTCTGCTCCCTTGGCATGAGCTCTGGATTTGGGCAGGTTCTCCCTTCGTGTCCTCAAACCGGCTGCCAGTGCTGCTCACAGCTACAGCCTGTCTCATTCAAGTCCAGTGGGCAAAGAGTCATTTGGGAACTTCAGGGGATGAAAGCTTTCTTTTCTTTTTTCTCGTTTTTCAGAAACCTCAGCAAATGTCCCTTCCAGTTTCATTAGCTCTGATGGAGTTAGCTGAGCCAATCACTGAGACCAAGAGGAATTAATATCCTAATAGGTTTAAGCCAGTGAGAATCCATCCCTAGAGCTGTGAGTGGTTGAAAATGAAGGTGGGATCCACCGGGAAATCAGGACACTGTTGTTGGGAGAAGCGGTGACCTGATGCTGGGGAGGCCGCTGGCAGACGTCCATCACAACGCTCAGAAGGTCTGCATTTCCATTTTCTTTGAATCTTGCAACTGTTTTCCAGGATGTCCAACATTGCAGCAGTCACTGCACGGGTTATGGCCAGAAAACTTTTCTATTTTTAAATGACACACACACTATTATGCCCCATCACATTGTTTCAGTGATCGACTTTAAAGGGTCCTGGCTTACCTCCTCCTGGAATAATAAAGCAGTCACAGGAGTTCTTTGGGCCACTCCAAAAACCACTCCAGAGTGGTTTGCCACACATAATAGAGGGTGCACTTGAAAAGCAGCATCCAATGACCAGTTCTGGCTGAAAACTTTTGTGTTTTCAAAAGTTCAATAAGCAGCAGAAGTGACCACAATGTGTTTGAAACTTTATAGCTTGAGTCTTCAGGAGACAAAGTGCCTAAAACTAGATGGAAAGACTTATAATTTTTTAAATTAAAAACTGTAGACAGGAGAGGTAACAGTCAAAGTAAAAAAAGCATGAATCCTATTTTTTGTTTCAAAAATAAAACCCGAGGTATGGGGAAAATTGTAATATGGAATTCAGAAATCTGCTTTGGCCATATGCTTACTGCGTGTTCACTGCGCCTGCCTTCCCCGAGCCAGAAGGCCCTCAATGACCCTTCAAGCTTAGGACGGGACAGACATGAAACCAATGAGACCAACAGCAGGGGAGGCATTTTTCTGTCCTCCCTTCTGTGATCAGAGGGCAAACTTACCACCATGAGCCTCTCTAGACACATACCGCTTGCCAGTCTAGATGGTCGGCGTGAGAAAGTGGGTGGACCAGCACTGGCCGTCACCACTTCTCAGAAGAACACCTAGGCCTGATCAACATCTAGGAAGGTCAGCTGTGTGAGCTCTACAAAGGGAAGGCAACCTAATTCAGTACTCGGCCGAGTGCACCCTCTCTCAGAAATGGTTTGTGTGGATCCTGGCTCTACCCTCAAGCAGGGATTTAGTGTACATCACTCACTCCCCGCTGCAATGTCCTCGTACATAACAGGGACAATGACACCCTTCTCATAGTGTGGTGTGGAAATAAAACAGCTCCTGTGACAAGTGCCTGGAAATGTCCTGGGAGAGAAAACCGACAAAGCCATTCCCTCACCTGCCCTCTGTTCAGTGCCCTTTAGTGCTCTGACTTTTATAAACACACAACTGAAGTACCCTGGTCTGATCGCAGATCTTCTGTAGTTTCTCTCTGCCTCCTCCAGATGCCTGTACAATCATACGTACGTGTTAAGTCACACCTTTTAATATTGCAATAATTGGGACTGAAAAAAAAAACACTTTTAAAAATCTTCAAATTTTCACATAGATGTATAAATGACAAGAAATGATCAAAAAGGCATGGTCTTACCCCTTACTGAATGTAAAGCAGGGCAAGTTTAGTTAACAGTAGACCTCAACCAACCACAGCTTTAAAGTAGCAGCAGCAACAACAAACATCTCTCCTATTAGACTGTACGGTCCTTGAGGGTTGAAATCTTTTATTCAACTTTATACTCTCCTAAACGGCCCTAGCCAACCGACCAGCATGTATCAGAAAGGTCTTGAAAGGAAGGATAAGCTGAACTATCCTGAAGGGCATGCCACCTTGAAAGGCTTAAAAAGGCTGCACAGTTGCTAGAAAGTGAAAAGCACAGAAATCAAAGTGGGGAAAGCTGGACTCACTGCCTAATGAGTGCCGCAGGCCCAAGTTTCAAAATTTCTTAGATTTCAAATCACTCTTGAAAAAGTGTTAACCCTGGCCAAGAGACAGAAGATCTCCTATAGGGTCTATCACTGTTATTTCATGACCTCAAGTTCCTTTTCTTTTTTAATTAAAAAACTACGATCTTACCTGAACAGCGCCCACCCTGGACAGCAAGGAGTGCCAGAAGCAGTCCAGCTCACCCGGCCTCAGAACTGCCAGGGTCGTCCCCACTTCTGGCAAGCTCCTTTCCTCTCCGACCTTCAGTTTCCCTTGCCACGCAAGATGTGAAACAACAAGGTTTCTAAAATCCCTTATAGCTGTAAAATTAGATGTCCAAAATTCCTGCACACACTTACGGCAAGTCTCCTCCAGGGAAGGCACCCTGACAGGCACTCCTGAAGGGACGCAGGAGAGGACAGGGTCTGCCCTTCAACAGGCTCATCGTCTATGAACAGTAAAACACAAGGACACGGACAAGTGGGACCCAAGGCAGAAAGGGGTAATGGCCACCTGAGAGGTACTCACGTGGAACCTGCAGCTGTGGAGACGAGGACTGGCTTTGGAGGGGCAGCATTCACCCTGTTTCACATGGCAAACACGGGGCACCCAGTACTCGGGTGCCCACACAAAACACAACACAACTCTACCAGGACAGAGCCCTGCCCTCGTGGTGCCTAGACGCCGGCTGGCAGAAGGCAGACATTGGGAGAAGGGGGAGGAATTCCAGGCAGAGGGGCCTGTGCAGCAAAGACAGGACGGCAGAGCTTCATAAGCACACAGGAGCGAGCCCACGGCTCTGCTGGCGCACAGACAGGAGGCGGGTGGAAAAGCAGCGTGAGGAAAGGTACGGGGCAGAATGCCACTGACATGGAGCCCTGAAATGCCGGGCTACAGAGTCCGGGTTTTAACTGGTCTAACAGAATCACCTAACAACTCTAAGTTACTCATGTTTATTAAGCTTCACACAATCACTGGTCTGAATCCAAAGAATCTTTGTTTTTCTATACCTAAAGAATATGGCAGAAAGAAAATTCCCCCCCAAAAGTAATTTAAATAAATTTATTTGCAGGAGAAAAACATCTGAACATCAGGTACAGTCTGATCCACAGTGATCCAACAATAGTCATAGCTCATCCTGGGAGTTCTCTTACGCAGCCTGCAGGAGGAAGTCCACTGGAGCAGCAGCTGGACGTTTATCAGAATTCACAAAGCCGTCTAACTTGAGTATCACACAATACATATTGACCATGATACAGTAACAAAAATACAATATCAAATACTCACTATTTCGTGAGCTACAGCTACAATATAAACAATTTCGGCCCTTTCTTAAAAAAATGAAAAAAAGTATTTCTATTATAGCTTTATTTCAAGCATTTTCAGTTAGATACAGCTTTACATATTTTTACTTACAATAGATAGCAAAAGAATGCCTTCTTAAGTATCTGTAGATAAAATATATTACTTGTTTAAATGTTTGCACTCCGAAGCATACTTTGCCAGGTATCAGTTCAGATAAGAGAATGAAACTGTGCTCTGGCAAAATCCTGGCTGATGGTCAAGACCTGGAGAGTTTTCATATTTGTTTAAAAAAATTTACATCGGGGAAAAAAGAAGTGAGGACATAAAGAGAACCAACATTATTCTTTTACAATGAAGCAGTCTACTTCCAGAGAATGGGCTTTCCATTCAAAGTGTGTGGTCCCGAAGCTGAATTCTTTCCAGTCCAAGGAGCTGCCTGCGGCTGTGAGGCAGCTCGTAATGATGAAGCGAGTTAAGAGGAAAGTGTTAACTGAACTACAGAGATGGTCACTGATAAAGCAAGTTCCTAGAGGTCCTCAGGCCCACACAGAGGCGAAGGGCAGCCAGAACTATCAATACAAAAGAAAAATGCGCTCACTGAACTGCACACATAGCGCTTCTAGGAGGGTTAACAGTTCTTGACATAGGTTCCTGGTTGTAGTTTACAATATCTGCCTTCACCACCCTCTGTCATAAAAGAAAACAGAGTTATTATCAGGACATCAGAACATTTCGAAAGAGCTCCTTAGAGTATATTTTTATTTTCTGAACTCTGGTGAACTCCTGATGATAGACATCATAAATGAAGCAGGAGCTGATATTAAAAGAATCATCCAGAACCAACTAAAGTCGAGCTGGGGTTTTTTTTTCGGTTGGGGGAGGTTTGGTTTGTTAAAGGCTGTAACAGCAATTCTTTTAAATGGAGTCTTCTCTGGTTATGTGACATTAACTTGAGGTTCTCACAAGTCTAATAAAAAATCGGCAAATCAATATGAAAAATTAAACCCTGGTTATAATTTAAAGCAAAGGAATTAAAATTAATCATTTACATATTTTAACTCTTAAGACTTCATCATTTCATAGTAAAAAATGTCATTATTAATATTTTCATAAGCCATTATTCCCAAACACAACTTTTAAAATGTTAATCAATTTGTGAGTTAGTGAGAAGAGTTATAAATATTAAAGAGATGTGACATATAAAGAAGAAATGTTCTGAGCAACCCAATTTTTAAAACTTTTTTAATTTTTAATACTTTTCTCACAAATCCCTAACTTACTTCCAAAACAGCTATTAGGTTATGAATAATGACTCTAACAAAATATAGAATAATGAGAAATTTACAAAATTACCTTATATTTTTAAAATAATTTAAACTAAAAGACACTTTCAGCTCTTCCTTCCTTCCCTCTAACACACACTTCAAGGAATGTCTTAAATAATGAATTTAGCAATATATCCTAACAATCATCTCTAAGTAATAAATTTAAATTAAAACAAATCCTTTACCATTTTCAACTTTTTTTCACTAAGTCTGCACATACAAGCAGACAAAGAAGGATAATTCAAGGCAAATTTTTAAAATATTCTTTCAATTATCAGGCTATTTCAGGAAAAATGGTGAAGAATGAATAATGAAATAACTGCCTCAATTCTCCACTTCACTGCACATGTAATAAACACAACCATAAAGACAAATACGTTTGACAGTAACTGAAATGTTATTTTAATTTGTTCCCAATTCCTTGTTTAAATCGTAAGCCTCCTGACAAAAGATCGATTTTTCAAAGTTCTGAAACAGGACTTCTGCAATATTAATTCCCAATAATACACAACAATCATTTGAATGTCTCTATTCATAAGGAATAAGGAACAAGATAGCATTCACTAGTCCTCCCCACCCGCCTCCCCCCGAATTGCAAGTTTATTCATTAATACCTGCACTACTGTACTGAACAGATTCTACTCTGAGCAGAGCTGGTAAGTTGATTATCTTCTTCCGGGTACTTCACTATTTCTGCCCTGACAATACGCTGTCAATTCCGTACAACATAAACAACATGAAGAAGAGAAAAAAAGGAAAGAAAGAAAAAATGGAAAGTATATTCAATATCTGAAAATAGAAGGGAACACCAAAAAAGAAAAAGAAATATACACATAAATTTAAAGATGTCACAAAAGAAACAGCAGAATATATGCATATAAAAGGAAAGAAATGAACAAAGATCCAACTGTTTACAATTCTGACTATTGAAACAGACATGTCTACTGAACCTCCCAGACAAGCTATGAGTTCCATTTCTAGTATCACGATTACAAACAATGCCCAGTGTTTCAGAGGACAACAAAGAATTACGGGGCTTCTCCATGCTGAAGTGCAGTGAAAGTATTAATTCAACTTCCTTCAACAAACATCACTGAGGACCCACAATGTGCCAGTTACTCTACACGGGGAATGCACGGGTGAACTACACAGAATTTGTTCATCAGTTCTGTGGAGCTCGCGGGAAGAGAGCATGTACACAGCTAACTGTCACACGAGGTAAGTGCTTCACCAGGGGGCTTGTAACATGTTGTGGGAACAAAGAGGAAAGAGTGGTTAATTTTCTTTGAAGATGGGGAGAGGACGCAGAAGTCAGAGGACGCTATATGCCATTTACAATTTTTACATTTACTAGTATTTACTACTTGTCAAAGATTTTCCTTTGATTCTCACTCCTCCACCCCTCACAACCCTAACTTCCATGCTTCCAAATTCCATATAGAAATAAACAAGTTCAAAATACACTTTTCTGTCATTAAAAAAAATCCTGACACACAATATTTAAGCACAACAGCTGTTGTTTTCAAATATCTAAGAGATTTGTTAAATATAGGAATAAAGTTAGGGTTTTTTATTGCTATAACCCTTAAGATGAAAAGACCACATATGACAAAGTGTAAAACTTGAAACTATTCTCACTTTTTAAAGTAATTTCAAGTATTTTATTTCAGAAATACCTTCCTTCATAATAGCATCTACTAATTAGAAGAGAGAGAAAAACGTTAATCAGGCTGCTGCTTGGGATAATGTTTATAAAGCTTGGATAAACAACTGAGGGTGGAGGACAGGACGCTGCAGCGCGTGAGCCTTGGACGGGCTCTGCTCCAGCTCTCTGGCAGGCAGCATTAACTTCTGGACAAGGCTCATGATTTACTGGGCACTCAGCCTGATGCTATCAACAGAAGCATTACCAACTGCCACGTGAGGTATGAGGGGGTACGTCAGTGAAACTCTGAACACCATCATCTGGCCTCCCCCGAACCTAATTGTTTCATGCCAAACTATGGATTACAATAAAGAGAAAGGATTTTCATAATCAGTAAGCAACTCATTAATCCTCCAAAATGATGGTTTAAACCCTGTCCTATAAACACAACCAGGTTACTGACCTGTGGTCAAGACATTCTGGTCGAAGTATTGACTAACATAAATGACTTGGATTTTCATCAAATTAATGAAGAACTAACAAGGCAACATCTTTCTTGGGGGCCTTGGCTGTTTGACATAAAGCTTTGTACAAAGTTTCTGAACTGGATGCCAGAACCAAAGCTCTGCAGATTCAAATCTTTGCTTTCGGATGAGTTAAAAAGCATAATTTCCATGATACAAGCTTCATGGTAGGTGATTTCACAGCAGTTGGCTTACTTACAAGTCATTCATTCATTGATGTTTTCAGAGAAAATGTTACCTACAAAACACCAACTTTGGAGCCACAAAGTCAATTATATTCTCTGCTATTAGTCAATCAAGTGAAAATAATGAAGTGGCCTTAAGAGAAGGGAGCTGTGATTCAACACCAGATTAACTCTTACTCTTAAAGAGAATCTACAAGTGGATACCAGAAATGGAAGTGGTAGCTATCCACAAGGGTAAGCAAGAAGTCAGCCTCAGAGTTGAGATCATAAAGTACTAAGTAGTAGAGATGCTTGGGAAGACACTAAAGATCAATCTGGTCAATTCTGCAACTGCATCTTAATCCAACAGTAGCATGTTTACCATTGCAAAAGTCATAGTTTTGTCACGCTTAGGGTATGTAGTAAACATAGTTTGATGGACTTTGATGGCTAAAACACCTGTCACTATCATTCGTTCAAAGCAAACCACTATTCTACATATTGAAGACATTCAGATAAATAACGTATAATCCCTGTTTTTGAGATGCATAAGAGCCTAGCATGGAAAACAGATGTGTAAACTATTAAAGAATATTATGATATAAATTTAAGGTGCAACAAAATTATAGATTACCATTTAAAGCACTGCTATAGCATTTTTAAAAGCATGGTACTTTGCACATAGTAGGAGCTTAAAGAAAGCCACTCTCCTCTTTCTTCTGTATAATGCACCATTATACACTCCCAGTAACATTCACAACTTTGGGCAAGTTACTTCACCCCCTTGGTCTTCAAAATATCCTTATCTATAAGACACAAGGTTTTTCTGCAAGGTCTCTAAGATTCCATCTGGTTTTGAAACTATATGAAAAAATAGATTTAAAAAGTGAATAGAAAAAGGAAAAAATGGACTATGATTTGACATGGGTCTTAGTAACATTTTTTTGGAACTGTCTCCTCCTCAGGCAAGGGAAGTGAAAGCAAAATAAACAAATGGGGCCTAATCAAACTTACAATTTTGTAGATACTGACAGGCATATGCAGAATAGATAAACAAGATTATACCGTATAGCACAGGGAAATATATACAAGATCTTGTGGTAGCTCACAGCGAAAAAAAAAGTGACGATGAATATATGTATGTTCATGTATAACGGAAAAACTGTGCTCTACCCTGGAATTTGACACAACGTTGTAAAATGACTATAACTTAATAAAAAAAATATTAAAAAAAAAAGCTTATGCAGAGTGAAGGCAATCATCAAAAAAATGAAAAGGCTGCCTACGGAATGGGAGAAGCTATTTGCAAATGATAAGTCTGATAAAGGGTTAATATCAAAAATAAATAAAGAACTCATACAACTCAATATCAAAAAATCAAACAGATTTAAAAATGGGCAAAAGAGACCTGAGTAGACATTTTTCCACAAAAGACATACTGATACCCAACAGATGCATGAAAAGATGCTCAACACTGCTAATCATCAAGAATATGCAAATCAAACCACAATGAGATATAACCTCACACCTGTCAGAATGACTATTGTCAAAAAGACAAGAAATGACAAGTGTGGGCAAGGATGTGGAGAAAAGGGAACACTTGTGCACTGCTGGTGGGAATGTAAACTCATGCAGCCACTATGGAGAATAGTATGGAGGTTATCCAAAAAACTAAAAATAGAACTACCACATGATCCAGCAATTCCACTCCTGGGTATATAGCTAAAGAAAACAAAAACACTAATTTGAAATGATACATGCACCCCAATGTTCAAAGCAGTATTATTTACAATAACCAAGCTATGGAAGTCACCTAAGTGTCCATCAACAGATGAATGGATAAAGAAGATGTAATATATACATATATACACAGTGGAATATTACTCAGTCATAAAAAGAATGAAATTTTGCCATTTGTAACAACATGGATGAACCTGGAGGTTATTATGTTTAGTGAAGTAAGTCAGACAGAGAAAAACAAATACTGTATGTTTTCACTCACATGTAGAATCTAAAAAATAAACTAATATAACAAAACAGAAACAGATTCACAGATATGGAGAACAAACTAGTGGTTACCAGTGGGGAGAGGGAAGAGGGAAGGGACAAGACAGAGGAAGGGGATTAAGAGGTACAAACTACTAGGTATAAAATAAGTAAAATATAAGGATGTAACGTACAACACAGGGGATATGGCCAATTTTTAAAATAAGTTTATATGGATAATCTGTAAACATATCGAATCACTATGTTGTATACCTGAAACCAATGTGATATTGTAAGTCGACTATACTTCAGTTAAAAAAAGAGAAACTAATGCATACCTATTTCAAACCAAACAAAGTCATAGCTTATTAACTGGCCAGTGAAAATGTCAAAGCTTAAAAATGTATTAAGAACTCAACGCCAGGTATATAGGACAAACCCTCCTTGCAACTCAGACTGAAAGAGATAAGACACAGAACTATGCATTTTCTTTTTAGATTATTTAATGTATTATTAAAGAGCTGAATGCTGGACTTCCTCAGAGAATAGCACTTCTAAATTTATTTCTTCTAAAGGTTTGACTCCTTTGTAAACAAAACATCTGGGATGGAGTAATAGCTCAGTTGGCAGAGAGCATGCTGCATGAGGTGCGTGGTTTGATCCCCAGTAAAAGAAAGAAAGAAAGAAAGGAAGAAAGGAAGAAAGAAAAATGAGAAAATCTCAACAGTCTGGGAAACTTGGACATTTGTTAACAACTAGTCCCAACTTTCACACTATCAGAGGAGCGTAGGTGGGGACAGAAAAGAGGTGAATAGATAAATGACGCAAATAAAATCACTAACTAACTGAGAATTGTAAAAAAAAAAAAAGGCATCAGAGCATACTTAACTGTTTAAATATCTGCCTGCCCTCATGTATTCTGGGAGCTCCTTGAGGACAAGGAATTTAACTTAGTCATCTCTGTATCGCCAGATTTTAGTGTCCTGGCACAAAGTAAACCCGCAAAAAATGTCTGCTGTATTAATAAACTGCATTCCCTTTCTTTTCTCCCTCTTCCCTTTCTTGCAAAACTTGTAGTGTGTTGATAGCTCATTTTATATGACTCTCAAACAGGAACAATCTAGGTTAGAACTAAAATAGCAAAGTCTCTTTAATCAGTGAATGGAACCAACACTAAAACCTTATTATAAATATTTATGTTACAAATGAAGTTACTATAGTGTCAATTTCTATGTGACTGGTGAGTCTACAATCTAGCTCCTTCTGTATAAAGTAATACAAAACACTTTCAAATGTGACACCAAATTCCCTCCGGAACCCCTCAAATGACATAAAAATCACAGAAAACAAGTGTACACACTCTCTCTCCCTCCCTTTCCTCGCTACTCCCCCACCACATTCTGTATATATAAAATCTGAACTTCTTTGCTTTTAAATGAACTTTCAGAAGATATCAAATAGCCAACAGGTACATGAAGAGGTGCTCAACATCACTAATCATCAAATTAAAATTACAATGAGACATCACTTCACACCTGTTAGAACAGCTGTCATCAAGAATATAAGAGATAAGTGCTGGAAATGATGTGGAGCAAAGGAAACCCTTGTGCACTGCTGGTGGAAATGTAAATTTGTGCAGCCACTGTGAAAAATAGTATGGAGTTTCCTCAAAAAGTTAAAAATAGAATTACCACACCATCTAGCAATTACATTTCTGGGTATTTATCCAAAGAAAATGAAACAATAAATCAAAAAGACATATGCACCCCCCTGTTCACTGTAGCATTATTTACAATATGCAAGATATGGAAACAACCTAAGTGTCCATTGACAGGTGAATGAATAAAGAAAATGTGCTAAGTATATATACAGTGTAATATTATTCAGGCATGAGAAAGGAGAACATCTTGCTATTTGTGAAAACATGGATGGACTTGGAGCACATTGTGTTAAATGAGATAAGTCAGACAGAGAAAGTATGATATTACTTAGATGTGGAATTTTAAAAAGCCTAATCTGTAAAAACATAGAATAAAATGGTGGTTCCCAGAGGATGGGGAGATAAGACAAATGTTGTTTAAGAGTACAAACTTACAATGATTAGTAAATAAGCCCTAGAAATACAATGCACAGTACAATGATTCTAGATAGCAATATTGTCTTATAATCATCAAACTTGCTAAGAGATTAGAGCTTACTTATTCTAACTACTAAAAAGGATAATTATGTAATGTAATAGAGGTGCTAATAATTGCCACAATGACAATCATATTACAATATATAGCCATATCAAATTAACGTGTTATATACCTCTTAGATTTATACAGTGTTATACATCAAATATCATTTCAATAAAAAATAACACTGCGCTCAACACAGCTTGCAAGTACCTTCTTATAAATGAATCTTTTTTTAAAAAATCAACTTTAAAAAAATGTTTCCACTGAGAAATGTTAAATGTGAGATAAATAATCCAACTGTCAAAGACACCAAATTCACTAGTTTTGGGAATGGAGACTGAAGTTCCCACACACAAAGGATTCTGATGAACATAATACAGGAAGTCTCTAGTAGCTTGAATTTATCCTTTAATGAATGAATTCAAAGTAAACACCAAGAAACTGAAGACTGAATTAAACCTCACAGCATAATAAACAAGACGGGGTGCACTAACAAACAAGGAGGGGTGCACAGGGAGGGTAGAGAGCTATGCAGTTAACACATCTGATACTGCTTTAGTTAAAACATGCTTAGGTGTCAAGTCCATCTCTAAAGTCTAAACAGTAAGTTTCTGGCTCTTATGACCTAGAGCGAGCTAAAAATATTAGTAAAACTTCTCTAAAATTCGTCAGTATTTGCATCAGTCCACCTCTCTGGAGTTACCCTGAACCCGAGCATGCCATGGAGCTCCGATGGCAGCCTGTGCCGCACCAGCACACCTCCCCTCTAGGGAGGGATCACCAATCATTGCGTCTCCCCCTTTTTCAACTCCACTAGGAGAGAAATCTCAACGTGATCTTGGACTTCTCCCTTCTATCCAGTCATTCCACAAGTCTTACTGATTCTTCTTTGAAATGTCTCTCTTAACATCCATTCTTTTCCTTCGACTCGGATTTTGGTCCTTATCACATGAGGGCAGTAACCCAGTCTCTTTGCTTCAATCTCTTTCTCATCCATTCACACACAAAAAAATCCCATTATATTAATCCTACCTAAAATCTGCTTTCATTTATTTCCCTGCTTAAAAAATTATTTCCCACCGTCAATATGTAAGATAAAATTTATCAACTTGGCATTCGTAAACCTCCATAATCTTTTCTGAAATTCCCTTCACACTGTAACATTTATTTAACCAAACTGCTCTTCTGTTTCCAAAATACAAACTAAGCTTTTCAGCTTGTTCATACCAACTTCTTTTTCAATTCCCCACTCCAAACCCTCAGTAAATCTTCCCCCAATATGGAAGACTGAAAATACTAGGCACACTGCCGTCCGATAGGCCTGAGTTCAGATCCTGGCTCCACCACTGCCTAACCACAGATTCGCAGATCAAGTTACTTAACCTCTCCACAGTTTCAGTTTCCTAACCTTAAAGTGATGAACTGCCACCTGCCCCACAGAGTTATTATGAGGATTAAATGAGATAACACAGTGCCTGGCACATAATATATTACTTTTCCTCACTAAAGGCAGGGACTGCATCTTAAACTCTTTTAAATTTCCTCTGGATCCACCACTAAACCACATTTGTAATACATGATCAATAAATCATTTGTAACTGTTTGATAATCATTCATGGACTATCTGATTAACCAGGGACAAACATCATTTAGAAAATGAAGCTAAAAATCAGAGGAATCACTCGACCTCTGCGGCCTGCCAAGTTCTGTGCAATCAAGCAAATCACGGTGATTTCTCTTTCTTGTATCCATTCTCCTAGACCAAAACCAAGTAACTATTTTTGTGTCTGGGAGCAATTTATATGGCATAAATATCTGAACATTGTGCCTAGCCATAGTAAGTGCTGAAATAAACATTTTTTGTATAATGAGAAATAACAAGTTGCAGATTTCCAGAGTTCCAAATATTTTAATGAAGTCCTAGAAATAGCCACAGCAGCATAACAATTTTCAATTGCTATTTTCTCAAATTGTTATAAACCCCCCCCAACACACAAACAGAGTGACCATGAAAATAAGACACAGAACTAACTCTAAAAGAAGTAAAGAAAAATTTAAGGATGGGGAAATATCATTATACCTTTTTAGCTGCAAGGAGCAGGAATGCAGTGGAAGGGATTGAGGAAAAATGTAATTTATTTGTTGCTTCTACGCAAATCACTTCTGAAGCTTAACCTTATAGGCTCTTGTTCTGAGTTTCATTCAATCAAATGTGAATTGGCTAGTGTAGTGGTATTTTTAAATGCTTGATCATTGGTATTCATGTTTATTTCTTAGTCTAAGAGAACTGTCTAGGAATACTAAGAGAATTCGGAAATCCTCAATAATTAATACCATTATTAAATTAACAATAAAATAATAAATATCATTAATTACTATCAAAATCAGTATCATTACAGTGGAGGATGTTTTAGAGAGGAACAGAGAACAAGACTTAAGAAAAAATAATGTTTTACCAAAGCAAACATGGAAGATGCCAAATGGAGTAAATTCTTACTAATTAAGGTAAACTTTGATAAATAGTTGGGATTTGATATGAAATACAAAAAGAATATTGTACAGTAATCTAGGAAGAAGAACTTAATGAAGTACAAAACAATATGGTCAGTATCTTAACTAATTATATAACCACTGATGAAATTTTTATTATAGTAATCTAATTTCTTCCAACACAAAGGACAAAATGAAGTTTCAAGGGTATCATAATTTGGCAAAAGTTAACATCCTCCATCTTCTGCACAAACCATAATTCACACACACAATCTATTTCTAGGGCTTTTTGGAATATGTACATAAATGTGAAAGGATTCAGGGTGAAAATTAATGTCATTTAAGAAATAAATTATTTTTTTAAATATAAAGTTCAATATAATCACCTGTGACTGTTCTATTTCTGCTTTGTTTAACTTGATTCCAAGGATTTCAGCAGCAACTTTCTGAAAACACAGGAAGACCTACATAACAAAAACAGGTTTAAATGATTTAAAACAGGCATGCTTAAGTTACTTTCAAGTAAATTGAACTTTCTAAAAAATGATAAACAGCAAGAACTGCAAAACTATGATGTACCAGGTTATTCCAAAAATAGCTTTGTCAAATACTGCAACATTTTAAGTGTAATAATTTTTCTAAATGATTAAACCGTAATTTGGAAATTCATACAATTCACTGAACTGGTTTAAACATACACAAATCACGCTTTTAAATATTTAACATAAGATAATTAATTACAGATACCACATTTTAAAAAAACTATTAGCATAACAAACTCCCGTAAGTCCTGAAGAAAACGAGGGTCAAGCAGTCTGTACCACCTGTATGAAGTCCTCACTGGCAGTTCTACACTGGCCTGTTGATCTGGCATTAGCTTTATCTTAAAAAGTCTTACTTTCTAACCTTTCAATCCTCTTTGTGCTTCTCACCAATTTTAATAAATTCTCCGTATCTCTTGAGCAAAACAACTTAGCAATCTTTACCGTATTTTATCAAACAGAAAAGGAGCAGTATACTCCATTATCATTAAACGAAAACCTACGAAGACTTTTCTATAAACAGCCTTTCGTACATAGGAGGTTTATGCTGGGTCCACTATGACTCCTAGAGCTCCACTCCAGTCACTGACTGCTACACATAACTTGTCTTTGCTTCTAAGTGTCCTATCATATTCTTATCCCTACTTATGATTACTTACTGAATATTTATTGCAACTATACTAATTTAATTTTGATTTCTAATCAAAAAGAGATACATGTCCTCGAAAGACTTACATCATTTCTACCCCAAAGAGCATTACATAGTATAGTTCACTGATGGTCAATGTTCAAGGAGAAACAGGAAAGTTAGTGTGGTGGAATGGAGAGAAAGAGGATTGTAAAAGAAAATTAGCAAAGAGACTAAGAGTGTACAAATCACGTAAGTAAGATCTGGTAGGCTACTGGAAGGACTCTGACTTTTTCTCTGAGTAAAATGGAGGGTGGTTTGATGTGACTTCTGTTTTTAACAAGGTCGACCTGGTTGCTGTATTGAGTTTTCACTTCAGAAATCAAGGTACAAAAAGAGAAAACAGCAAGGATACTAATGTAAGAGATGATGGAGGCTTGGAACAAAGTGGTAGCAGTGGAGATGGTAAGAAACAGTCACTAGACTACGGATATATTTTGAAAGTAGAACCAACAGGACTTGGTAATAGATAGATGTAGTGTGTGAAAGAAAGTCAAGGATGACTCCAAAATTTTCTTGGCTTTAGCAACTGGTAGAAGATCTGCCATTCCTGAAGTGGGGAAGATTGTGAGAGATTTGAGGGGAGAATATCAAGAGTTCAGGACCTGAATTAAACTGGGACTACCAATTAGACATATAAGCAAAGGTGCTGGGGTCCACGACTATGGAGTTCAGGGAAGAGGCCTCGTCAAGGCCATGAGACTAGACGAGTTCACTAAAGGAATGAGATTTTAAAAAGAGATACCCAAGAACCGAGCCCTAGGGCACTCCAATATTTAGAAGACAGAAGGATAAGAAGGAATCCGCAGAGGGGACCAAGAGAGCAGTCTGCAAGGCAGGAGGTAAGCCAGGAGGGGTGGTATCCTGGAAGCTGAGTGAAGAAAATATTTCAAAGTGGAGAGAGTGATCAACTATTTTATATGCTGCAGCTGAGTCAAGTAAGATGAGGACTAAGAACTGACCACTAAATTTAACAAAAAGGAGGTCACTGGTAACCTTAATAGGAGCATTTTGGGTGAAACACTGGGGACCAAATTCTAACTGGAACTGTTGAAGAGAAGTTGGGAGGAGAGAACTGGAGACAACTCTTTCAAAATATTCCACTGGTAAGTGGCAGAAGAAAGAATAGCTAAAGATGTGGAATCAAGGGTTTTCTTGTATTTAAGATAAGAGAAGTCATAATATTTTGTATACTGATAGAGTAACCTGGGAGACAAAAAAAGGTGCAGGAGAGAGTGAGAACTGCTAAGCGATGTTCGCTACTAGGCAATGAGAAATGGGACTGATGCACAACGGAGGAAATGACTAGGAGCACAGACAGTGCACCCCGCAGCAACCGCAGAGAAGACAGAAGATACAGATGTGGGGTGGGAAGGAGAGCTGGGGTAGATGTGGTGGCAGGAGTATGTGAAAGTCGATTTCTGTTTGTCAAATTTCTTATAAAATAAAGAACAAGGGCGTCAGCTGAGAGAATGGACGAGGAAGTTTTGATGACTTGAGGAGAGAAGGGAAGCTATGAAATAGTCATCTGGGTGAGGGAGAGAGACAGTGGCCCTGGGATATGTACACTTACTGAGCAGCACTAGGGCCCACTTGAAGTGAGTGACTGTGAACTTTAAGTGAAACCTCCACCATGCCTGTTTTCTCTGATCATGTTCAAACCCATGAGTGCAGCCACATAAAGGTGGGGGCTTGGTTTAAGGCAGCCCAATGAGTCAGATAATGTGAACGAGGGGAAAGGGAACTGACAGGATGTGCTTGGCTGGCCATGACATTTAAGTTAGGAAGAGAGGAAAATGAGGACATGAAAGGAAATTAGGGACACTGAAAAAGTGTTAGGATCAGTGTCTTGTAGGTCCTGCATGGGTTGCAGACTGACTGGGTTAGGGCACTCGGAGGTTGTGAGCTGGGAAGACAGAAGGTGGTCAGTGATTAGGATGCGTGATATGCAATATGAGGTAACAGAAAGGCTGTGGTGTTTTGTAAAGACAATGCACGGGAGTGAGTGGCTGAGGTGGGGTGGAGAACAGACAAAGATGCCAAATCACTAAGAATTATGACAAAGGTATTATCAGGGAAAGCACAGTAAGCCAGAAACTCAGCTTCTCAAGCAACAAAGGGAAGTAACCTGGGAATGGAGATGACTAAAAGCCTTAAAGTGATTTCACAAGAACAAACCATCTCAAAGTTACACTTAACAAGAAAACAATAAGAAATTTTAAAGGTGGTTCAACATAAGTACACAAAAAATATTAAATGGTTAAACACAAGCTAAAATACTGAAAGGCAACATAATTCCAAAATGACAGAAGACCCCTAGGAAGACACGTGAGGGTAAAAGCCCAACCCATGGGTGGACTTACCAAGAAGTATTGATGTTATTATTTTTTTAATGACATGTACGGGTATGTGCCCTTGTCTGCACCACCCTGGGGGAAAGCGCTCCAAGAGGTCACATTTTTAAATGTTAGACCCCCCAAAAGATTAAATACCCTTATATTACTTAATATTTATCCCAAGCACAAAAACCATCAAGGACATCATAAAGGAAAAACACCAGAAAGATTACACCACAGAAAAAAAAATACAAACTTCCTTTGGTTGAAAATGCCAAGAAAATTAAGTCAAATAAAAATCTGGGCAGAGGAGAGTATCTGCAAAAATTATGACAAATGGCTGTTATCCCCACCTTAAAAATGGTCACAGAAAACTTTAAAAAGCAATAGAAAATTATAAACACACAATAAGCAGAAAATTAATAAGTAATAAAAAATTTTAAATTTCCACTTCAGTAGCAGTCAAAGAAATTCAAATTTACATAGCAAAAAAATTAGTTTTTCCTACCAAATGGACAAAGATTTAAGAATAAATAAATCCTGAATGTTAGAAAGAGCACAGTGATACGGAGCTCACACAATGCTGGTGGTGATATAAGTTAACTTAGGCTTCCTGGCAGTAATTTATCAATTGGTTTCAATTATCTTTCAAGGAATCTATTTCAAAGAAAAAAATCAAAACATCAAAGCTTATGGACAAAATATTACATTAAAATTTTGCAAAATTTAACAACATCCCGGACTTGGAAATAATCTACATGCCCAAAAATAGGTACCTGGTTGAATAAATTTTTGAACATTTATTTAATAATTTCTTAAATCTAATGGATTATTAAATCTATTTAGTATTATTAAGTGACATGATAAAATTTTCTACAGATAAATACATTAAAAAGTAAAACACAACCTTATTTCTATACTATAACCTCAGTTTTGTTAAATAAATATTTAACATGGTTAATATGGTGAGCCCTAGATTGTCAATCCTTAGGTTTACAAATCCTACCTCCACCCTTATTCTGTGTACCCTGGACCCTACTACATAACCTCCCTAAGACGATTCTATAAAACAGAGAGAATCACAGTAGTACAGTGCCCATCACAAAGTACGCACTCAGTAAATGCAGTCCCTTGACAGCAGGACTAGTATTTGTGAGCATCAGAAAAATAAGACTGGAAGGAATCATATGAGGTCACCTCCGAATGCTGGAGATTATGAGTGGTTTATATTCTTTTTGACTTTCATATTTTTTAATTCCTTAAAATAACCGTGAAGAGAAATACAAACAGAATACCCATGCTATATCTAACCTAACATATTTCATGTCTTCATAGGAATTAACTTGTTCCAAAAGTTAAGTAATGGAAGTATACTTCCTATGAATATTAGTATATAGAAGTAAAACACTTGTAATATTCAGTGTTCATTATTTTACTTACAGAGTCTCCTGTCTTTGCTGAGACGAAGTGGCTACTAAAACCATTTTCCTGGCAAAACCTTAAGTGTTTTTCGGGTTTTACTGTTCGCATGTGCTCCAAATCAACTAGAAAGGGGAACAAAAACAGAGAACAAAATTCAACATTAGAGTCAGTCAATACATTTTTTAACATATTTAAATTTGACCTATTTTCCAATACTGTACCACCACTTAGATATTAGCTGTGTAATCTTGAGCAATTTTTTTTAACCTCTTTATGCCTGTCTCCAAATCTAAAAACTGGGAATAACAAATACACCTATTATATAGAGTTCCTTGAGAATTAATCCATGCTTAGTGCACAATGGCCAGAACATGGTAAGCACTCAAAAATGAAAGCTGTCGTTCTTGTTATCTGTATACTTCAGGCACACTGATGACACTCAAAACAGGTCTACTTAGTATAACGTGTTGACACACAGTGATTAATTGAAAAATGCACTTTCCCAAGCACATTTGGTTTGAAACAGTTTAATTTAATAATTAGAACAGTTCTACAGTCTATGAACTTTAATGTTACACAAATACATTAGTACTTTTCTGCTAAAAAAAAATCACCATTTCATTGTACATTTATTTTATTTACAGCCATGGTTTCACTTCAAAAAGATAAAGCTCATTTGCTTTTCAAAATTAAAAGTATCCATTCTGAAAGTAGTAATTGGCCAGGATATACTTCCTTGAATAGTTGTAGGTGCTTTAAAGCAAAGCACAGTACTCATGTCCAACACTGGTTTTATCCAGCACAGACTAATTTTTTAGTGATCCTTTATTGAACAGTTTCTCTTTTTACAACACTACAGACCCTATAAGGGTGTTGACTCAATGCCGTCAAATTATAAGGCAAATATATTCACAGGATTTAAGGACAACTAGGCTCTTTGAGTCAATATAGGAAAAAAAAACTTAAACTGATTTCCTGAGGAAGGGACCCAACTGACTTGTAAAAACTTGTAAATTTGCAAATCTAGTAAGCCTACATAATAGTGCCAATTGATTATCAACTAAAAAATGCTCTCATACTACGTAAAAGGCTTTATTTAAAATTAGATTGAAGGCTTCTAGTTTGTAAGCTCAGGACATCCTTCTCTAGGAGATTTTTGATCTAGTGGGGGATTCCTGAGTCCCGTTTATACTGCTTAACTTGGATAATATGCAGCTTTTTTATTTTCTGGCCACAAGCTGCTGTTCCTTAAACATCACTGAGACCTTATTTACAAGAAGAGGCCAAAAAATGTCCAGATACCACAGGCATCAATTTGAGAAGACTAAAATACTAAGCTATTAGCACTGACATTTATACATCTAGTTTATCATAATATTGAAGTTAAAATACTTTCCTAATTCAACAAGAGTAGAACAAATCATGTCACTAGGAAAATTCCCCAATGAAATCCCTTTCCAATAAAAAAAAGTCTGTAGTTCAACGAGTGGGTGCATTTGTCTTTTCTAATGAAATAGTCCATCATTGTTGTGTCTTTTCCTTCTTTTTTTTTCTTCTCTCCCTCTCCCCCACCCACACCCCACAACTTCTCACTACCACATAAGTTTATCTATACAGCAATGGGAGATTTACTATCCAAGCAAAAGTTTTTTCCTAGCAAAGGTAACTATGAGAGACTAATACTATCACTGATCAATTGAAAAAAATTATTCAATAAACATTTACTGAGTACTTGTTATGTACCAAGCACTGTGGTAAGCTGTGAGAAGCCAAAGATGAAAAAGTTCAATCCAGGTCCTAAAAAAGTCACCACCAGTACTATGAACATAAAAAGACGGTTAAGAATCATAAAAGTTATTTTAAGTAACTGAGATTCTGACAAATGAGACAGAAGATACAAAAAAGGCCCTCACAGAAGGCCTTGACTACAAAGGCTTCCTCTACTGTGTTAGAATTCAGCAGGCAGCATTTAAGAGGACTCAAGTTGCTAGAGGACTTCATTCTAAATAATTCAGAAATGTAAATTTTGAAGATGAAGGTACAGTGAGATACTAGTGAATTCTTTCTTTTCTTCTATTCTTAAGAGTGTCCTTAAAATTACTGTCCAGTATTCATCTAATGGACATGAGATAACAGTCTTACTGCTGTGACTGAGTTTCCCTTATGTCCTTCAGTGAACCACATCGCTATGCTAGCTCTTGTATTTTATCTTGAAAATGGAATTAAAATCTCCTAATAGCAGTAATACATGATCATTTCCCAAATACTCAGAAAAACAATTATGAAAATGATACAAAAAATGCCACTAACTAGAGACAACTACTGTTAACATTTTGGTGCTTATCCTTCCAATTATCTAGCAACTGAAGGGACAAAGGCATTAACATTGTAACATGCAATTTCTTTCAGCTCAATCATACTACAGCTTGCTTAAACATGTGTCTAACCATTTCAGTGGATAAACACTTTGTCAATCATTCATTCATTTGTTCAACAAATCTGAGTGCCTACTATAGCCAGGCAGTGTCCTAGGTGCTACAGGTATAACAATGAGCTTACATTTTAATGAAGAGAAAGAGACCAACAAGTAAAGTATATAGTATGGCAAACGCTGATACATCTAATGCGGAAAACAAGGGGGTACATGAGAGGAAGTGCTATTTAAATAGACAGGTCAAAGACCTTATGAAGACTAAGGAGCAAGGAAACCTGGGGAAGAGCCTTCCAAGCAGAGGAAACTACAGTGAAAGGCCCTAAAGGAAGAATACATTTAGCAGATTCAGAGAAAAGCCAGGAGGCCAGGGTGGCTGAAAAGACTCAGAGAGGGAAACAGCAGGAAATGAGGCTTAAAAAGCCAGGAACCATATTACGCAGGGTGGGTAGGTCTCTGTAAGAAACGTGAGAAGAAACATGGGTGGTTGTGAGGAAAAAAAAGATGCAATCTGATCTACATTTTAAAAGGTTTTTTTGGACTGCTTTGTTGAGAATAAACTACAGTCAAACGTAAAGCAGAGAAGCCACTGAGGAGGTTGTAGTAAAAATGTAGGAAAGAGAAGATGGTAGTTTGGACAAGAGTGAGAGCAACAGAGATGATAAAAAGTGGGGCTGAGTCTCAATATGATTTTTGGAATAAAAAGTGAATAAGAAATGCTCATAGATATGACATGGGATGTAAAAGATATGGAGAAGTCACTTGAAGATAGTTAACCTGAATATTAAATGAGACAGTGTTTTGTAGGTTTTGTTCCACTCATATTCAGCTGCATGAATGGAGGTGCTGAGTAGATAAACATTTGCATTTAAGTAGAGCTTTGGTTTTCCCAACCACGTACAATTACTAAAAAGAAAGGCAGGTAACTGAAGATAATAAATGCAAGGGAGTGATTATGTTGACAAAGCATGGAATCTAAGCTGGGTAAGGAGGGGGTTCAGGAAAATGAAAAATTGCTAAGATCAACTGATGTTAAGGTCTTGTGTGGTTTAAAAATTATTGGAGTTGGGTTACCAAAGGAAGTGAGCTAGAAGGACAAGAGATAATAGACTGTGGTGGATGAAACTGATATTGATGTCATGGAGAGGGTACAGAAACTTATACTGACTAGGTCTTCAGAATAACTATAGTAAGTGTAGATGGGGGAGTCAAGATTGTTGCAGATGAGAAATTCAAGAAACTGAGAGACCAAAGTATTAGAAGGATAATCTGTATGGATACTGAGATTACCAAGAATCATGAAAGCAACAGTGATGGCGTGACTGTGACCCAACAGCCAAAATCTTCAAGAAACTCAAGGCAGTGATTAAAGGGTTGGTTGAAAACTCCAACAAATATAAGTAGCAGCAGGTATAATCATGCAGCTTGATATTCAAATCTAAGGATTTTTAGGAAAGATGAAGGAGAATGATCTGGAAAGAGCAATACGTAACAAGAAGGTCATCTACCTCACCTCCAGTACTAGTGATAAGGAGGGACCTCAACATCTGAAACAGCTTCAGGAGAAGGCAGTACTGTCCTTATGGGAGAGCCAAGTGAAAGAAGTAGTGTAAAAACTTTTGTTCAAGGAAGATGTTGAGAATATAAGAATTTTATTGATGTCTTATTTGTAAATTCATGAAGGCCCAATGGAAAGATCTCAGAAGTTACAGAAGGACAAAACTGGGGTCTGAAAAGCAGATGACAGAGCCATATAGGATAAGAGTGCAGGAGATAAATCAACAATATCCATGGCAAAGGCTTTTCCAGGCAGCTGAAATAAATGAGGAGTAAAAAAGCATGAAGATGAAAAAAATTCTAAGACTGCATTAGACAGACAAGAAATCCAAATTTTATACTGTCAAAACAAACTGTTCAAAAAAAAAAAAAATCACTTGGCTTACTCAGCTTGACCTGGACACTGAAATGGAAAGAAAGAAAAAAAGTTATCAAGATACCAAGTCTGGGGGGTGGGGTATAAGCTCAGTGGTAGAGTGTGTGCTTATTAGCATGCAGAGGTCCTAAGTTCAATCCCCTGCACCTCCATTAAAAAAACAAATAAATCTAATTACCCCCCCTAAAAAAAGATTAAAAAAAAAAAAGACTAAAAACAAACAAATAAAAAAAGATCTAAGTGTATCTGCCATGTTCTTAAAATCACATGGTACATGAAATAGAAGTCTAAGAGAATCCAATTAATTTTGGCTAACAAGAATAATTTTGATATAACTTGTAAAGTTGTTTGAAAGAGTAATATGTATAATTTTAGTTTAATATATTTTAAAAATACAAATTACAGTATTTCATATTTTATAATTTAGGTTTACAGCAAGAAAGAGATACTAACAAAAGCACATTTCAGGGCTTCCTGGAATAATAACAATCCAGTAAGAAGTAAAGTTTTCTCAGAAATATGACTAATAATTACATTTTCCAGAATATTATGCCATCTTAAAGGCCTTTTTATAAAGTTTCACATAAACCTGTGAAAACATTATTCAATCTCAGTGTGCAAAGAGATGCAACTGAAAAAAAAAAATGGAGCACTGAGGTTTCCTTTCAAAATATAAAAAAAAAGAGAGAGAATACCCAGTGCTGATGAGAGCTGGTACTACTGGCTTTCTGAAAAGCAATTCAGAAAATGTGTGTTGA